ATTTGATTTAGATAAATTTTTACTGAGTTGTACATATTGAGAAAAATTCCAAATAATTTTGGGTACCACTGTATATTTAATTATTTTCTTCAAGAATTTTCAAAATTTCTATTGTTATATATTATTTTTATTTTAAGAGAAAATTAAAGATAAAGAACTAATAACAGAAAGATATTTTATTTAGAAGAATCAATATGATATATTAAAGTTTTTAAAATATATTAAAATCAGTACAGTTTTGAAATATATAAGATTAAACAAAAGAGATAATGGTAATTTGTTTTTGTAAAGATCTATTATTTATTTAATAAAATAAAAATCCAATTCTATTAACTTTTAAGTATAATTGGAAATCTTATATATATACTTAAAATATAATATTTTCATATATAATAAATAAAAATTATAAAAATTAATTAATTTATAAAAAAAATATCTGTTTTATTAGAATAGTTAAATATATTAACAAGAATAGAAATAAACATCTTGAAGAAAATAGTTAATATTAATAAAAAAAATATTCTAGATTAATAAATATAAAGAATATAGAGTTTGTAAATGAAATTGTAATAATAAATCAGTAATAGAAGAACTTTTTTAAAAATAAAACAATTTGAAATAATATAGTTTAAAATTCTAATTGTCTAAATAATTATTTGTAAAAAGACTAGAATAATTTTTATTATTAAAATAATAATATTTTAAATAAATTCATTTTTTTTTATGAATAAGAATTTTCTTTAATTATTGTTTAAAGTGTAACAAATAATTTTTTAATTACTTCTTTGTATAAATAGATAAATTATACTATATGTTGTAAGAGGGACTGAAAAATTAGATAGATTCAACATATGTCATCCTCGCCCAATTGGGGTTTAATTGGGGCTTGAGGGATTTTAGGGATTTTTGGGATTTCTTAACATGTATATAAAGAGAGGAATGTACTAGAGAAAAAACAACAATAAAATACCATCTTTTTATTATAAACCTCAGACTATTATCTAATCCTTTCACTTATCTCGTGCCACATCTTTACGCCTCTTTCGACGTTACACGATTAGCGATCGCGACGTAGCGACAGACTCACCGTTATAACTCCCAACAATATAAATAATTAAATTAAAAGCAATTTACAATTAATCAAAATATATAAAAAAGTGGTATTTTCTTTCAGTTTTTTAAAAAAAAGAAAAATTGTAAACAATTAAACTTATAATTATAAAATCTGAATTGTTGTAATTTTTTTTTAATTCTTTTAACAAAAATATTATTATCTCATTATATATATATATATTTTTATATTGTTTTTTTTTTAAATTCAATTTTTATTTATTTTTTGATCTCAGTATTAGAACAAGGTTATAAAACTGACTGAAACAATAATTTTGAATTATTTATATTAATTTATTTAATAGTATTTGAAATAGGATATATATTGAGTAAATTAAATTAACAAGAATTAAAAATTATTTTTATCAGTAGTTTTGAAGTCTGTTAAGGAAAAAACTTAAAGTTTCAATATAATAAATTGTGAGTTTCATTTTTTTTAATTTTTTTTAATATTTTTTTGAATGGTTTTTTTATTTTTATTTATTCTATTTCTATATTCTTTTATTTTATAGAAATACCTTATTTATTATAAGTTTAAATTAATACAATTCTTGTTTTTTTTTCAAGATAGTAAATAAATAAATATATATATATAATTTTTTGTTTATTAATTTAATAAATTAAAAACTTCTATTGTTATATAATAAAGTTTATGGCAAATTGTCAAATAATATAATATTAATTTTTGTTGAAAATTTAAATTTTAATATAAAAATTATAATTGATATATTATAAATATATTGTTTTATTATTTTTTAATTTAGTTTAATTGTAATATAATATTATTTTTCTAGTTTTGAATATTTAAATTTAAATAAGTTAATAAAATAATTTTATAATAGTATAATTATTTTTAATAGTATTTTAAAAAGTAATTTGAATCTATATACAGTATAATAATTCTATTAATATTGTTAATTGTATTGGCAAGTCTGTTACCACTTCAAAACTAGGCTTGCAATTTGCTGATATATAGGAGTCATGTCACTTGCAATATCAAAGGTACTTATTAGTAGGATAATTCTCTAACTTTCCTTCTTTTTGCTTGTTCCTGTGGCTTAACCCTTCACTAATAGGCATAATATTGGCTATTATTAGATTTTTTAGGCAACAAGTATCTCGATAAGATAAGTTTATTAATTATCATTGTGCAAATACAAGTTTGGTTATACAATTATATTGCAATTGACTATCACTATCACTACTTATCTTGACTATTATGCATCGTGCCATATCACATAACCTGTGCTGATTCCAACCCATCTATATATTTTTCTGTTAACAATATACAATCTTATTCAAATATGCAATATAATTTATCAAACCTTGTTGGTTTTTGCTTTAATTAAAATTTTTTTTAGTATAATTATACTGCACTTAAGATTTATAATTTTATTATTATAATACTTATTTAAATTTTTTTCTAAATTGAATATTTGTTATTATAATTATTATTTAAAATTACAATTATATAATATCTTTTGCATATCAAAGTAAATTATTATATTGCAAATCAATGAAATCTATAGAAAGCAGATTGCTATAAACTTATTTTTTTAAAGAAAATATATTTAATAAAAAAAATTGCAACTTATTTGATCAACAATATAATTTCAAGTTAATTAACTTTTAAAAAAGAAGATTTGAAAAAAAAATATTAAATTGTAATGATTTTAAATAAATAAAAATTTTTTATCTTTTTTTACTATATTTAATTTATTGTCTATTAATCAATCAATTTATTATTATATAAATCAATTAAATTGGTTATCTGAATTTATTAATTTATTATCCAAATTTGTTAATTATTATTTAAATTTTATTGGATTATTTCAATTGTTTAGCTTTAAATTCGGATTATTTTGCCGAATATGTAAGATCCGGAAATTGGTATTAATTATATAATAACGGTATTGAATTGAAGTTTATATGTTCGGAAGTTTGAAAATTTAACGAAAATATATAGTACGTATAATCATTACAGTACGGAAATTTGAAGCTGTATGTACGTTGTACAAATACGCAAGAACAACCGTAATGGTCTCTTTTATTGGTTAATTTTTGGGAGATGTCCTGAAGATACAAAAGATATAAATAGAGATAACAAAGATAACAAAGATACTGGATAAATATAATAGACAGTCTGAAATAACAAGCTCCGGCTTAACAACGGTCTCTGTTGTTATCCGTACTGCCGAGTCTATCGCTAATCCGGACCAGGACTCGTGTAACGATGGGTAAGTGGGTCTTTATCGCTTGCAGTATCAAAGGTACTTATGTTGGCGATAATAGGGTTGACTTTCCTTTCTCTCTTATTGGTCCTCACGCTCAATCCTTCACCACAAATTCTTTCTGGTCTTCCTAGATTTTCTTAGAGCGATCAATAGCGAATAAAGTAAGTTTATTTATTATCGTTGTGCAAGTACAGATGATCGTTTATTACAATGCAATTAATTATTCTTTTCCCATTTCGGGTACATTGTCTATTTATACCATATACGATGCGTTTCCCTAATCTATCGTCGCGTCATACAAACCCGACAAACTTTTGGAGACTCTGCGCTGAACAATTATGCATGATTGAAGTACCATGCGTCACCGCACCATACCCCGACGCCGTACCCCAGTCCTTCTATTACAAAATTTATGTTAACACTGCACATGTTTTAGCGAAATGTATAGTGCACAATTTGTCTAACGAAAATACTCGCATACAGTACTTGTTAAACACATTAAAGATGCAACGAGAGAATATTTCACTAGAGAAGTAAAAATTTTATTCAATTATACTGTATCGTAGATTCGTAGATTATGCCAATTTATATTACGTTTTACTGTAGTAAGTCGAAAAAACCAAATGAACGAAACGAAAAGGAAGATTAATCGAAATTGAATCGGTATAAGCAATAAAAGGAGAAAGCATACGCGTACTTAATTCGATATTCATGAGTACGATTGCTTTATGGAATAGTAAAAAAAAAATTTCTATATAAAAAGGGAAGAGTCATAATGAGGATTTCTAATATTCTATATTTATAGTATTAAGAGAAGAATGTATAAGATAATATTTCAAATGCATTAATCAAATATTTCTTAATTTCAAGGCTACATCGGCCGGTATCGTCGACAGATATTAAAATGGACTTGTTGAGCGCAGTCTATATAATTCTGCTTTGACTGTGGTGGAACTTCCTTCCAGAGGATCGAGGAAGCGTATCTTAAGGTTCTGGAGTCAGTTTCATTTAGAAGTGTACCAGCTTCCATACGCACTGCGGTAGCAAAGGCGTGGTGTCCCATAAATCTTGTGTCATGTCTAGACCATCTGCCACTTTCTCTGATCGCATCAAAGACTGCGTTGGAATTGGGAACACTATTGAACAGAATCGCGCGCAAGGTGATATTCTCTATAACGTTTCTTATGCGAGGAGTGTCCATGGTGTCAAATCAATGAAAATTGAGGAAACCCTAGGGAGAGACTTTGAAATGAGGTGTTATTAAATATATTTTTTTCCCAGTTTTCATCAGTAATGCATTTAATCAGGAGCGCATAAAAACAACTCAATTTTTTCTTCGATTGGTTTATTTTGCAAATCCAAATATAAATGTACGTGTGAGTTCATAAGTATTTAATTTCTCGACAAAAAAAAGTTATTATTATATTTATTATTGAATGCTTGAATGACTTCTGAAAATTTTATTAATATACTGTAAAATCACCATTTTCTTGCAAATTTATTTACACAAATACAGTATTCAATAAAATTTATATAATAAAAAATAATTATAATTTTTATTATATACTGTATATACTGATGTATACTGTATACATAGTGATAAGCTTGAAAAATTCTTTAGTTAGAAAACTCGCATACGAGCTGCCCCAAAGAGAAAACATGTGGTTCTTGAAAACTCACTAGCCGCCCAAAAAGGGAAGAAAACGTGTGGTTCTTAAAAAACCTTTTTTACAGGTAGATACGACGCAGATGTGTGGCGCGATATCACTTTACGCCATTCTGTTTTCTCGAACGGTGGGAAAGATTAGAGGTGAGAATTTCTTGAATAGCATATAACAATAAAAAATGTAAATAACAGGCGCGTACATAAATACATGCGCAATTCGATAACATGTAGGAGATTAACCTTTCGCGTTCTCAAAGAATAAACTCATACCTTACGTTTCCATTGTACCTGTTGCATATACGCTATTAATTTGTTTGTGTGACTATAGTTTGGCCGGAAAGAATGGTATAGTTCTGGAAACTAGCAGAGTTTAGTTATAGACCAAGGGTGTTAAAGTTAGTGCGCAGACGAACTGGTTAAATCGTGACACGCCCCAAGGGTTTACCAACAGGCACTTATTTCACATATAGTTACGCGAAACACATTGAGCATTGGTGACAGACTTGCCAGTTACCCTGTAACACTTAATATACGTCGCCCCTAAAAAGAGAGACTTTTTACGCGCCACCTCAAAAGAGAGAAGGCGCGTGATTCTTAAAGAACTTTTACGTTCACACTCAATATAATAAAATTATAGAAACAAACTTCTATCATCAATAAGAAGAACTAAGCGTTTTCTATTGATAAAATAATCAATAGTGCTTTTATATTGGTTGAACAGCATACACGCTGCCAAGAAAGAAAAGATTTTATTGCTAAATAACTTATAAAGAACTTTTGCGCAAACTTCAAAAAAAATTATTTTGCACTTTATATATTTTTTTGTTTGAACATTGTTGTCACCAGTGAGTCGGTCGCTAACTTGGTCTACTATTCACGTGACGATAATCCGAAGCTTGAATTAAGACGAAAGGCGATTTTGCCAATCATGCGCATTTGCTAATCATCACAGACATCTTTTCACACGGAGCAAAGGTAGCGTCAGTTTTCCACCTAAAATATTTTACTATATAATGGTGTTGTTAGTATAAGGAAACATGTACATAGAAAAGGTAACATTTAATAATGATACAAGTTTGATAAAAACACCTTTCTTTCTAACGCATTGACTTGTCACGTGCCAAGTCTAAAACACTTTTTTCGACGTTACACGATTAGTCAACAATACATTGGGTTTTGATTATTCGCGGTTTGGTTTATGGAACGTAAATTTATTGTGTGAAGTGAATTATCAATTATCAAATAAGAGAAAAAGACTGAAGAGTGTTCCAATACCAGAGAATGAAAACCAGACCTGTTGTATATATAGTATCAACAGACATTACCCATAACATGTTTGTCTACTTCTCAGGCACATTTTATTCATAAATGCATTAAAAATGGCGCAAAATGTATTAAAAGTGATGCAAGGTATCTCTATGTTCTCGTTGTTTCTCTATTAAGGCAATTCTTTAATGAACCATGTTCTCGTTTTAAGGCAATTAATTCTTCAATGAACAAAAAATGTCTTTGTCTGATAGTTAATCCATGCGAGTGCACACGCAGCTCATAGTAAATAGAATTTCTTTGTCAAATAATTAATTTATGTGATTGCACATGCAACATGGAGTAAAAAAAAATGGTTTTCCTAATGATTCGTTCACGCTACTTACCGCGTGAATTCTTACTTACCAAAAAAGATAAATTAAATTTATTTCGCATTAGAGTTTACAATGTACTTTGTAAGTGACGGGCCATTAGAAAAGCGTATGCCGTTTGGAAATATTTTTGTATATCCGACTAGACCACCAATCGGCATCATAAAAGTTTTCTAAATACTACTTTATTGGTTAATTTTGCAAGGTCAAATTAATTTTGTTTATATTAATTGCATCGCATGAAACTATTTTCTTTGTTCAATTTAAATTGCATGGCGCGGAATTATCCAATATGAACCAAATTAAATTAATATTTACCGTATATTAAACGCATCGCATGATAATTTAGCGATTCGCTCATCAAACAAATATAGGCCTATATATGTAAGTTTTAACCGACGTGGTAGCCTAATTAGTAAGTTCCGAATGTTAAAGTTATTCTATGGTCCAATGGATATTATTCTTCTCTACGGATATTAATTCCGCATTGACTATTCAGGAATTTCATTGACTTTGAAACGTGTGTAATTCAAATGGAATGTGTCGTGTAACGTAGATTGACACATTATAATTGTCGATCACATAACTGCAAAAGAAAATGTCTGAACAAATAATAATCGCTTGATAGATCGCTACTCAAGTGTCTTTTCTAGATACTCAATGGTAGGAATTCTGCCTTTTTTTTTTGAGAAAGTACAAACTAAATTTTTTGGATTCTTGATTGTAGAAAAATTTGTATTGTGTACATGTAAAAGATAATTATTCGTTAAGATTTTACCATATTCGTGCGCGAAAACATACTGTATATTCATGTGTGCAGTTATATCGATTGTTAACGAACCAACAAATTATTAAAATCTTATGACTTAATCTTTTTTTAAAAATATATATATATATATAGAGCAAACGGTATATATACCGTGAATATTGTCAGCAACTTTTTTTTTTTTGCAATTATTCAATAAGTAATATTTACATAAATTACGTGCGTGCCTTTGACAGGTATCCAAATTAATTCCACACAGTTACTTGTTTCTCATTGTTGATTTCTTTTCAACAACATCACCACTAACTATATCAAAGAAAATCAAAACATGAATTTGGAATTGTTTATTTTAATCTCGCGCGAGATCATTAAAATGTCGAAATAAATAAATATATAGCATTTATTTAAGTATTATGGAATATATTCTTCTATCTGGTTTAGCGAATGCGCATTATACTTGAGGTACAAGTTGCGCAGCCACCATTCTTCTAAATCTTATATGCTCTCATAAATGATTCTATAGTGCGGGTTTATGCGAACTCTCACGTTGCGGGCGTACGCAGCCATTCCTGGATCTCCGATTGTGTGGGGTTTACATACTATACAAACTTTTGATGGTGTGGGGTGTGCACATCTCGTCTTAAAAAGTATCTTGATTTTATGTGGGGTGGGAGAAAAAATCTGCTTGGTCGGAAAATCATGATTTCGTGTTACAACAGCAATTTCTTGTCTGCGGATCGATCATTTCACGATAATCTGTGTCTAGTCATGTGCACGATCAACTCGTGACCCATGATCTTTATAACCATTGATTCTTGTGACCTCATTTTTGCAACCATTGTAATCCCTAAAAATAATAAGAACAGCGAAGAAATTAGAGATACTTATGATATCAGCGATTCTTTGAGTAGTATGTAAGGAACTGGGGGTAGACCTCGAATATAGCTTTGAGTGAAAATATAGCACCAAGAGATATCTAATTAGTGATTGACTCTATATACAACCCTAAAAAGACACCTAAAGCACCATTACCGAATTAACGAATGAAAATTGTGAACTGTATGATGAAGCGTTAACCCAATAGCTAAAATAAAGTGTATATGTTAGTGATGTATTCATTACACCAATGTTTGTTTGGGAGTAGCTTTTGCTTCTAACTTATGATAACAAAGAGATAACTTACACCGTTAACGTAATGTGAATTTATTAGGTATAAAAAAATAGTTGGTAATTCTATTTTTGGAAAAAATATTTTAAGCCACGAGGCTTGAGTTACCTTTTTTTCCTAAGCTTTGTTACTGTTGCAATTGCAGTACCTTAGGAAGGAAGGTGTTGTCTTAATTGTCAAATAATTACGAAAGATTTTTATATATCATAAATGTGTGTGCAAACGTGTGGTGAGAAAAAACAAGCAAAAAGAAATATTTTGTTGGCTTCAGTATCTTATACCTAGTACTGATTCCTTTTTAGGAAAAATATATATCACACAAACTGCACAAGAGTTTTACAACATTCTAATTTTAATAAAGATTTGGGGTATAGTTTGATACGTTTTGTTTAATAAAAGATGCACGTGCGTAAAGTTCGAGAGTAGGTAGGTTGAGCAGAAGCATCGTGTATAATTTCTTTTTTTTGCTTGCCTTGTGGTGGTACCCCTTACTGCAGTATTACTGATCATCTTCCATTTCTTTACCACGGGCCCGAAAATCAATCTATTATGTATAATGTATTGTATTCAACTATGTTTAGGAGAGAACTTCTCAGTGTTCATTTCATGTTCTCAATATTCCATAGATGAATAATACAGCATAGGAATATCTCATTAGTGAACGAAGGATCGTTCCATTTAACAGGGTTATCCCTCGAAAATTGTGATTTAATTAGATTTTGCCAACTTTTTTATTCATTATAAATTCGAAGAATAAGAATAATTAATTTAAAAAAACGATAGTAGAGGGGAGAATCGACAGCATGCAGCTGTCGCGAGAATTACGATCTAATATAAATAAGTCTAAGTGTACCAGCACACTATATTATACATATAATACATTCTTATAGTTGCATGTGTGTAAGGAAATTATTTGTGCATTAAAATGTAACCATCAACGAAGGTTATCAACGGCTTGAGCACAATCCGTATAATTAGCCTTTGATTGTTTGGAGGCAACCGCCCAGAGGAGCGAGGAGGCGAATTTTAAGATTCCGGAGTCTGTCTCATTTAACAGTGTACCCGCTTCTGTAACCACCACGGTGGCGAAAGCGTCATAGCCCATAAATTTTATGTCGCGTCGAGCCCATCTGCTATTTTCTCTGATCGCATTAAAGATCGTGTTAGGGTCCGGAACTTGATTGAACAAAATTGTGCGTAGAGCATCATTATTCACGACGTTAGTTACACGAGTGCGAAATTCCATCACAAATCTTAAATAAATAGTGTTGGGGTAAAATTAGCCGCCAATATATTCTATATATTCTAACAAGAAGGAAAGACCAAAGTTAGTTATTTGTTAGGCACATTCAAATACCGAAGAAAGATGTAAGAAGAAATCCTTCGATCAAGACAAACCCCCCGCCTCACTGATTGAAAGAGAAACTTACCTTAGCACTGTATTGAGCCGAAGAAGCCGCCGATCAACGGTAACAAGAATAATTTTTTTTTAAAAAAAAATGACCAAATAAATATATAAATTAATGAATAAGATAATACTTAATAAATAAATAAATTTTCAAAAAGAGAAACTTAGGATCATAATTAAAAGATAAGAGCATAGTGAAGTTTTCACTCGGAAGAAAAAAGGATGCCTTTATACTTAAATTATTGACCTCCCTGATTTATGAAACGCATTCTTATCTACAGTATCGTTTTTTTGGTCTCCACTTACAAAATGCAAGAACGAGGTTATTACATAAAAGAATGTGTTACGCGCACTCTTATCGCACTTGGAGATTGGTGTTCGATTCTGAGAGTTGCAGCATCGTTCCTATCAACTGATCTCAACTGATCGTGAGAGTAAAGGTTCTCAGTTACTGATTACGAGAACAAATAAATATTACACAATATACTGGCATCTATAATAAAAAAAGAAGTTGTTTACTTTTTTTTTTTTTTTTTGCGTCCTGATTTGTTCAGAAAACCTTATCTCACGCACGTTAAAGTTTATCGTGTACTCGATGTATAATGAATGCTCTCCCTAATAATTGTACCTGCCTATTAAAGAGTCAATTGGTGATTGAAATTGTCAATCTATCTTTTAATCGTGTGTCATTAATTAACATTGAGCCATTTCGCGAATGTTTACTTGCATCTACAGTACAAACGCCTTCTATTGATTTAAAAATACACACGTTGTTTTGATGACTTCTAATTATGGCAAATATTTTAGATTGGTGTTTTTCTTGTATATTTACTTAATAACATTCTATTTTTCTAAAAATAAATAATCGCGATTTTTTATTGGTCATTTATTTAGACAATGTCAATGGTGCAATGTTTCCATTATCCGAATGTCATCCCTGCAGTTTTTATTTTCGAAGAGATGAGAGATGTTTCATGCATTTCTCTTAATTAGTTGACAGGCGAGCGGAGAGTTTTTTGGACCCTGATTTGAACCCTGTGAGTATGCAAAATTCGGTTATTTTTTAAAAAATGCTTTTGAAAATTACCCCATTTACGGATTTATTACATTACGTATATACATAATTAACGATCGGTTGGGTCAATCAATTCCGCTGTTGGAATTATAATGTGTTGACATTTTCAATATGGCCTCGGAACCGATAAGAAAAGTACCCCAAGAAAAGTTTTTTTGTTGATAGCTGAATTGAGTGATAGAGAGTTACCGCTTTTTTATTTTCATTTTTATACTGTATATACTATATATATTTTTATATATTTATATTTATTTTATATTTATTTATATTGATATTTTTATTATTTTTATTTTTATTTTGTCGATTGTTAAAATATTAAAACAAAAGTTTAAACATATCTGGGTATTTCTAGGTGTCAAAGAGAAAATCACTGAAAGCATTAAATCCTTAATTAATGAAAATTATCGTTGTCATTTGTATAGTCTATGCATGAATAAAATTATCGTTGGCTCTATTCATGAAGCGCTAATCAATCCGTCAGCTATAATTGAATGCGTTAGTTGTGTCTATCTTTGAGTACTCCCGACTTATACGCTTTCACAATAATATCAAGGGGGTGATCAACAGATACTAGGCAGGGACTGGCTGATGTGTGTACTCAAAAAGAGAACAAACCTTCGCGAGAGTCTGTAATCCGCCTAGCAGAGATTTTTTCCCAAAATAAAAGACATGGAGTTGTTCTCCGTATGGTGTTTTTACAGCATACGTGCAGCTGCATTTTTTAGTGAAATTTCCATACTGTAAAATAATTATATTTCCGGATTATTTTGACGGCATATAGAATTACAATTTCGTGAATTTTTCACATGACGATCCGTAATATAGTCATGTGCAACCAATAGCTTACGTTTTTCTACATTTATGCAGGAGTTCCCGTGATCCGGAAATTTCACTCGAAAACAATGCAAATGCGGCTGCACGTATACTGTACAAATACTGCATGAATGAGAACACTCCCCATGCCTTTTATTTTGGGAAAAAAACTCTACCTAAGCGGAAGGAACTTGTGTAACGATATTCGATTGCTTTATTGAGATATGAAAATAAAGCCCAATTCCTGATCTCTGGTCTCTCGCAAAGAAAAATTCATGTTATTAAAAAGATAAATTTTTTAGATTTGGTTTATAAACGATTGGTTTTTATTCTATTTAAATGTGGTTAGATTATATGGCCTGGATTTTTTTTAACTTTATCGGTGTATTACTTACATGTGATACTTTAACCGCTACATCGCACTGCATAGCCAAGAGTAATAAGAGATCCTGACCTACCATGCATACGTGATTAACCAATTATTTTTTAATCTGCATCAATAATGAACAAGGTACAGTACTCCGATTGTACGAAAATTTTCGCGAGGGCATGATTCTAACAAAATAAACGAGGTTTTGAGTATATACGCTCCGTTCTGTTGACCCTTTAAACCTCTTCGAATAATATGAATGTCTCTGGGCAAATATTTACGTCTCAATAAATTAGTGCACGTACGGTATCGGAAGACAGGCTGCATGTATTCTAATATTCATCACGACCCCATGCATATTACGATTGTACATACAAGTACTCACCCTATCCAGACAAAGATAAGGGGAAGTTGTAACCAATTGCAAAGAAAATTATACAAAGATAAGGGCGTTGTAACCAATTGCAAGGAAAATGTGCAACCCATGCGGCTGTTCTCTAAGTATAAAGACGGGGATGTTATTATCGCGTTTCACTACTCGCATTGACTAATTGAATAAAAGATACACATTATCTGTTCAGGAGTATTATTGGTTCAATGTGCACAACGGTAACGAAGACATGATATCTGAACATCTCTGATCGCGACACGAATCGCGGTGGAATTGGAACTAGGTTAAATAATTTTTTCATGAGATACCGTATTCTTACCCCTTGCAAGACAATGCCAAACACTCTACGACTTGCAACTTTCAAAACGCCTCTTTCGATTGGTGATTTGAAGTTCATATTGGCGCATTGACGAATGATTAATCATCTATGCACAACCAAACTCTGAATGCTCTCTTCTCACCTGAAATTTTTCTCTCTCTCTCTTTTTTTTTCGTAATTAATCAGATCAAATTAACCAAAGAAAGAATTGTAAACCAAATATTTATTATGTATACAGTATACAGTGACCTGAAACGTATCGATATAAATGGTGAATAGACCCGACACACACAACTCGCCATGTATTTTTTGAACAAAGCTATTTGACAAGGATTGTTTCATTTTATTATTATTATTTACAAAACACTTCACTTAATGTAAACAGATTGCGATTTAGCATGGTTGACTCAGCCCTAAATATTCTGCAAGGCAAATAATTTGCCTTTGAATGATATAGCGGTGGTACAAAGTTTAATTTGTTCATCCAAACCCTTTATAAATTACAAATTAGCATAGGCTGAACACGTCGGGGATTGAATTTTTTACAAAGAAGTATACGTGGGCGCGAATAAGTTGCACCTCCGATTCTCAATAAAGGGAGCGCGACAAATGAAAAGGATATAAAAGTAAATCTTTCAAAGACGTGATTCCATCTACCGATTTTGGACTTATTCAGAAGTATTCAGAAGTATACTCTTTTCGGTCAAACTTACGCCAATGCATGTCGCACAATTACCTTGCCGCAGCTAGAGTAAATCATCAGCTCAGAGTGGCTAAACTTCAATTTTTTTTTCTAACAATATTATTTCCTAAGGAATCGATAATTACGAATTGAAAAAAAAATAAGTTGCAAAATATCTTTTATTTTGTTTGGGTAAAAATTAATGATCTTTCAACTAAAGTCATGAAAGTTTTTGTCTAAATTTCACGCTTCTGCATGGGAAGTTTTTTTTTTTTTTTTGTGCGTACATGATTGGGGTAAATTTCTATATTTATCTCTATTGCATTGATGATATGCAAGAAGTACTGTATACAGGTTAGACTTCGCGATTAGCTTAAGTGAAATATTTTATCATCGCCATACCCCCACGATGTTCTCTTAAAAAATTCACCTGTTTATTTTTGTTTTAATTTTCATTATTTAGAAATCAGCAATAGCTTATTTAACTTTATTTTTAAATAAATAAATATACTGTATATATACCGTATACATAGTGAATCTACGGTACGTAGTATCTATTTTTTTTTTTTTAAAAAAAAAAAAAACAAGTAAACGGTGGCGATGAATGGTGTTTGATTATTATTCGATTTTTGGTCATTATTTTACTCACTTTGGTTGTTCTTTGTTGTATTT